AGCATAAAAACAGCAGCAAAATAGCAACAAATCCAGTAGCAAATCTGTGTTAAAGCAGCCCGAAAACTTAGAGAGGAAACCCAGAAATGAACTCTAAAGAGGACTTATACTTTTTTAAAAGTTTGCACTCTAAGATTCACTCCCAAAGCTCACCATTTCAACTTACTTTTCATGTGTTCAACTGCTGAATTATTTTTTTACTTTTTTTGTGTGTTCAAAGCAATTATAAAAGCTCTATGGAAGTGTGATGGAGTCCCCCCTATAATGAGGAAAGGGCAACCCCTTAAATAGGCAAAGAAAAGCCAACTTTTTGGACAGATTTTGGTTCACCAAAAGTCTACCCAATAAGGACTGACATTGTGTGCTAAACACTGTCCAACATCTACTATGTCAGAAGCAAGGAGAAAAAATGTCATTTCAGCCACCCTACTAGTAAAAGTAGACTACTAGCACCCTATTTTGTGATAAAAATATCTAAATTTCAGATNCAAGACTTTCTAGTTCAAATCTTGTCAAGTATTTCAAACAAAATCTGCTCTCCACTATTCAAAGATAGACTTTATTCAAATAATGTCCAAAGGTCTACATTTTCTTACCAAACAATTTGACTTTTGAGTGTTGTACTCAAAGAGTCTTGAAGCAGTAAACAAACAACCAAACAAGTACCATATACTCTTAAGTATTTTTCATTACCTCACTTTTATCAATACAAAACTATTTTACTACTTCAACAAGTGCAAAAACAGAAAGTTTAACATTTCAAACTTCAAAACTAATGCTAAAATAATTAATAATAGACAAAAATAAAATCTGGAAAAATTAAAAATAAAAATAAAAAAATCAGCCATGAAAAAGAATAGTATTTTACCATTTTACACATCAAAGGCCGAAAAAATGGTGGTATGCCAAAGAGGGTGTTCCGGGAGGTCGCCAGAATTAGGCCGGATTTTGGTCGCCGGTTTTTTGGGGTAGAATTGACATCAATAGCTAGGTCTTGAGAAGCTCTATCCATTGATATAGGTATTTTGGGGTGGTAGTGGTTGGAGCTTCAAGAATTTGGGCAAAAACGTGACGGAAAAGTTTCCTAGATCTAAGATTCACGGAGTTTGAGGGATTTTTTTATGATTTGGTTTGGATATATGGAAAGAGGAAGTTGTGGAGATTACGTGGTGTGAATTTGGAGGTGTTTGGAGGTGATCCATCGGCGGCGGCGATTTTCGGCAGGCGACGGTGGGCGGAGCTGGGGCGGCGTAGAGAGAGTGAAGAGAGAGAGAAGAGAGAATAAGGAGAGGGAAAGAAGAGAGAGGAAATAAGGGGGAAATGTGGAAACTTTTTGGGGATTTTACACTTTAAATACCTAGGATGAAGATCAAACTAGGACCGTTGGATTAAATCAAGATAGGTGGATGAGATTGAATCTTGTCACTTAACCAAAACGACGTAGTTTCAAGACAACTACGTCGTTTTAAACTCTTCTTAGCAGCCCCTTTTTGGATCGGGTTTGGGCTCTTTGGGCTCAAATTTTGGGCCAATTTTGGCACAATGTTAATTAAATTACACTAGCCCAAACCCAACCCCATTTATCCAACCATTACTCAACTCTTAAAACCTATACATACACAAATAAGAACAAACACACACACACACATATACATATTATATATATATACATAAGGCGAAAATTAGGCATTTACAATCCCCACTTGAGTAAGCTTCTTGTACGACATATGGGCCATCCCATTTTGAAGTGAACTTCCCTACAGGTTTATGGGAAGGAATTATGGGTATTCGTATGGCAAGGACTTGATCTCCTACTTGAAAGGATCTCGGGTGAACTCTTTTATTGAAGGCGCGAGACAATCAAGCTTGATACCATTCAAGACTCTGTTGAGTTTCCAACCTTTTTCTCATCAAGATCCTCCAACTCTGATAATTGAAGTCGAGCATTTTCTTCATCAGTAATACCTTCTTAAATAGCCAGTCGTAACGAAGGTATTTGACGCTCAAGTGGTAAGACAACTTAGACTCCATAAACGAGTGAATAAGGAGTCGCCTGTGTTGGTGTGCGGTGAGTCGTCCTATATGCCCACCGAGCTTCTTCCATAAGGTCATTCTAATCTCGTTTGGATTTGGAGACGACTTTATTTAACAAGTTTCATAGTGTCTTGTTGAATGCCTCGGCTAGACCATTGGCGGCAACATTGTACATCGAAGAGTTACGTTTCTTAAAGCCAAGGAGCTCACAAATCTTGTTCATCAACCTATTGTCGAACGACTTGCCATTATCTGTTATTATGTAACGAGGAATGCCAAAGCGATATGATGTTTACTCAGATGAAACTTGCAACATTTTCCTTCTTTACCTCCTTAAGAGCAACAACTTCAGCCTATTTTGAGAATTAGTCAGTTGCAGCCAAGATGTATAGGTTCCCACCAGAGGACTTTGGTAGTGATCCAACAACATCCAATCCCTAAGCGTCAAATGGCCAGGATGCAACAGTCGGGTGCAATACTTCAGGAGGTTGACAAATAAAATTCGCATGGAATTGACAAGCCTTGCATCTTCGAGCATAGTCCAAACAATCTTTTACCATCGTCGACCAATAATATCCCATCCTTTTTATATGGAAGTGGAGCTTTGGTCCTGACTGGTGTGACCCACATAACCCAGAATGTGCCTCTTGCAAAGCTTGGAGGGCTTCTTCTTCTTCTCCTAAGCATCGCAAGAGTACTCCCTCGAACGACGTTCTGTATAGAGTATACTTGTAGTAAAGGAAGCGAGGTGCACGACAACGGATTTCAGTCCTTTTCCTCAGATTTTCTGGAAGTATCCCATAGCATAAGTAGTCGATAATGGGTTGTCTCCATTCTTCTTTCTCAACTTCAGAAATAGCTACAAGAAGCTTGAGTTCATTTTCTTCACCTTCAGCCTCAGTTGGCAGCGGTACTACCCATTTTTGGTAGATGGTAACTTGTGCTTGATCAGGAAGGGCTAATGATGAAGCTAGGGCAGCTAAAGCATTAGCCTTCTTATTTTCTTTCCTTGGCACATGCTGAATAGTCATATCACCGAGTCACCCTATTAACTTTTTAGCGTAATCATGATATGGGCGTAGTTCTGGCTTCTTAACCTCGTAACTACCCAAAAGCTGATTGACCACTAACTGGGAGTCACCAAAGACTTGTAATTCCAATTGCTTTATATCAATGGCCATTTCAAGCCCAAGTATTAATGCTTGATACTCAGCAACATTGTTAGAACAGAATTGCGTCAAGGTGAAGGAGTAGGGAAAGACTTCACCTTGGGGAGTGACAAATACTATGCCAGCCCCAGCTCCTCCACGATGTGCAACACCATCCTCATCAGGTAGTTCATCAGTTAGCTCCAGTCATTAGGTATCAGATGATCTGCCAAGAAGTCTGCCAATGCTTGTCCTTTTACAGCCTTTTAAGGGATGTACAAAAACTCGAATTGTTAAAATTGGAGGTACGATCTCGCTAGCACCAAACACAACTTTTCAATTGGCAAATAATTCAACTTGTTTGGTGTTTTCATCCTGCTCAAGTAGTAAATAGAGTTTTCTTTCCCCTTACTATTTTCTTGGGCCAACAGTGCTCCAACAGACCTTTCTTGCGCTGCAATGTATAGAATCAATGGCTTTTCAGGTATAGGATCTACTAAAACTGGAGGCTTCATCAAGTAGGTTTTGATACTTTCGAAGGCATTGCTACAAGCTTAGTCCCACTTGAAAGGAATGCCTTTCTTCATGAGGCGACTAAATGGTTGGCACCTCCCAGCTAGGTTCGATATGAATCTTCTAAGGTATGCTAAATTTCCTTGCTATTTCAATTCATGGATATCCCAAGGCTCAGGCATTTTTAAAATGGCATCCACTTTGGCTTGATCAATTTCGATCCCTCGATGTCGGACAATGGAACCAAGGAACTTTCCAGAAGTAACTCCAAAGGCACATTTCAATGGATTCATCCTAAGTTGTACCTCCGATGCAATTCAAATACCATCCTCAAGTCTTTAAAGTGGCTGCCCTTCTCTCTTGATTTTACCACCAAGTCACCAATATAGCATTCAACATTCTTGTGGAAAAAATCGTCGAAAATATTCTGCATAGCACTTTGGTAAGTAGCGCCAGCGTTCTTCAAGCCAAAAGGTATTACCTTGTAGAAATAAATACCCTTTGGGGTACGGAATGCAGTAAGATCTTCATCTTTTGGTGCCATGCGTATTTGGTAATAGCCCGACGAACCGTCCATGAAAGACATTGCCTCATAACTAGTAGTAGCATCGATCATCAGCTCTAGAATAGGAAGCGAAAATTCATCTTTCGGACATGCATTGTTGATATCTCTAAAGTCAACGAATCTGGCTATTCTTCTTCCTTACAGGGACAATACTTGAAACCCATGTTGGGTATTTAACTTCGCGAATAAAGCTAGTTTTGATGAGTTTGTTAACTTCGATTTCAATCAAGGGAACCAAGTCCGGCGTAAAGCGCCTTTGAGCTTGCTTAACAGGACGAACGCCATTATTGACCGCGAGGTGATGGACTGCCATTTTAGGGTCCAAGCCAGACATCTCTTTGTAGCTCCAAGCAAAGATATCCCTGTACTCCTTGAGTAACTCAATATAAGTGCTCTCTCCATCAACTTCTAGTAAAGCACTTAGGTAGGTGGCTCTTGGTTCTTCATCGGTACCAAGGTTAACTTCTTTTAAGGCATTAACTGTCGTCTTCACTCCTTCTTTAAATTCAGGTGGAGCATCGTTCGCATCTTCATCTTCTTGAGGGTCCCCATCATTGAAGGATATGTGATACAACGGTGAAACATCCTCCAATTCCGCATTATCCTCCATTGAAGATGGAACGCCATTCTCGACTTGTACAATAACATGATACGAAGAACCCACACTTTTTTCATCTTCATCTCTTTCCTGTTACGAACTAAAATCCCTCCAAAGGAGTCGTGATGGCACCTAGTCTCTAAACTAGGTAAGCCTAACACTAGCTGAAATAACCTTGACATTTACTAACTTTAAGTTAATTAACTCTGAAAATTTACAATTTCCCAAAACCGGTGGTATAAGTCATAAGCTTTTCTCGCCCACCAAGGGCCATTACCCAAATCTTAGCAGAAACACCCTCATACTTCCAAAACTAGTTTACTTCTTCCAATTTGACTGAATCATCCATTAACTAAATTCAACCATGCACGCGAGTCGATACACATATTATGAAGCTACTCGCGACCTCAAACTGCCGAACCGGGCAAAATTGCACAAAACGACCGTCAGGTCGTTACAGTTCCTTAGTGTAGACCACAGTATATGGCTTTACCTTTAGTACTTCTTTACATGAAACCACAAGTTTTGTTTGTCGTCTCATTCTATAAGGAACCAAACTTTGGAAATCCTTAGAGATCTCCTAGATTTTGGATGAAGCGGGTGTTCTTATGCATTTAAAATTTCTCCGAAACTTGTTCCCCTTCTTTAATGGACCCAATCTTTCAAACACGGAGGTCCTCACAAGCGATTTTCCAAGTCGATCAAAGATATAAGCTTGTTAGAAGCGGCCAATTCATCTTTTACAGTGATATAATTGTTGCTCGCCCTTCTTATTGAGATGCACACTGGTGACAGTTGCATTTCCCACTGGGCGTGCCAATTTGTTTGTAATAAATTTGGGCAGAAAAGTAAAATTGCAATCAAACAACTATAAAGAAAAAAGGATTTTATTGATAAACATTGCAAGTTACAATTTTGTTTATCTCTTGATTCTTCCCTCTGATTTATTCTACGTGATTTGAGGGCCTTAGCGGCGTATTTCTCGAAAGTAGGACTTTAAGCAAGAGATGTTTGACATGTCTTTGATCTCTTAATGAATATTCCAAGAGTTTTATGAAATTTCGGAGATCTCATATTTGATCTCTTTGTGCATATTCCGAGCGTTTATGGAATTGCTAAGATTGTCTTTGAAGAACATATGTTGCTTATTTATAGGCATAAATTAGGGTTCGGGTGGAGTAGCCATCAAGTAACCATAATAGACTCCTAATATCTCAAGAGTTGTCTTGAATATAGAATTTATCTTGATCTGTTAAAATTTCAGTGTCTACAAATGCCCCATACTTCAAGGTTTGTCGAGGTGTAGGCTTGCTGAAACTTGAAGACGAGACTTGAAGTACCCGACCATCACAATAGATAATCTTGAAACTTGAAGTTTTTGATTTGCAAGAGAAGAGATGAAGGGCAGAATTGGTCCCACTAGGCGTACCAGAATTTGTCGTCAATAAATTTACGTCGAGAAAATAAAATCAAGACCGAAAAATATTTCAACAATCATAGTATTTTATTTCTAATATTTGAGTATTACAATATCTATGAATCCTCTGATTCTTCCTTCCAATAGTAAATAACTTCAAGGGCCTTTAAAGTTGATCTTGAATCTATATTTGTTTCCACGAACGATGATCTTGTTCTCTAGCTTGAGCTTGATTGCTTGAACTTGACCTTGATTCGTTCTTTGTTCTTGAGCTTGAACTTGATTTCTTGAACTTGAACTTGATTGCTTGAAGCTTGAAACTTGTAGAGAAATTTGCGGCTTTTGATCCACGAGCTCTCTCTTGCTTCTTGTTATAGCTTTTGGTGTCCTTTCTGAATTATGAAGACCCATATTTATAGTTTTGGAAGGGAGGAGTTGTGATAAGAACAAACTCTTTCCGACCAATCAAATTGAAGTGTGACATGACCGCATTTGATTGGCCATAATATGTCACTTGCACATGTGGCGCGATTTCATTGGCCCTTTAATTTGATTTGGCATGCCTTGTCATTTTGACACGTGGCATGATCCTATTGTCTCTTCCGTTTGACTTGGCATGCCATGTCATTTGACACGTGGCACCAAACTGGGCCTTTAGGAAGATGACATTTTGGGATAAATGAAATGGGCTCATCACTTTAGCCCAATTAAATGGGCTAGTGCGCCCAATGGATTAAGACTTATTTATTTAACTCATATATATTAGGTTATATAATTAATTCAATTATATTAGCCCATAATATTTATTTGGACCAATATAACTCGAATTTAAAATATAACCCAAAGTATTTTATAAATTTAATTTTAATAAAATTTATATGTCTACAGCAAGTTCCTCATCGAGCCATTAACCGAGTTCGCAATCACCCTTATCACTGATTTGACCATCTATTACATCTTTCATTTGCTTAATCTAGCGTCATTAATCATTTGTATTGAAATAATCCACGTATCCTTAAAATCAGATATAAATTCAGTTGTTATCCGTTTTGAAGGATAAACACTCTTCTTAGTATTTTTTTTATATATGTTTTATTTTAATTTTACATAGGGGGGAGGGAATTAAATGAACCTTCGTGAACCAAGTGAAAGTTCAGCCCGGCAACCAATTTTACTGTCGTAATTCTCCAGTAAACTCTTCTTAGTTCGTATGGCTTTATTTGGAATTATTACCATCCGCCAGCCTATGGTGTAGGCTACTGCTAGTTGATGCCGGGAAAGGAATGAAGAGTTAAAATGTATTTATGAGTTAATAATTTGATAAATATAAGACACCTCTATTTTACGTGTCACATACATACTGTTACGCAACGCCTTCCTGATGTTCTTTGGAAGGGAAACGTAAGGCTAAGCAACCGATGTCAGTGCAGTTGTTGTCCGCCAATGAGGTCCCCTCCGTACGCTAGACTAGATTGTCAGTGCTGTGCGGGAAAACCAATGTCACGAGCAATTGCGGAAGCTGAGAGAGAATTGGGTTTTGAATGATGATGATTTTATTGACAAATGAAATGCTGATTACAAAAGATGCGGTGTCGAGGGGGAGAGACACCAGTACAGAAAATTGATTGCTGAAAATGTTTGATTGCTTGATCCCCCCTAATAATGCTTTAAAAAAATAAACCAAAGTTGCAAGACAAGTCCTAATAAAGCTGTAGAAGCACACTGAATGAAAATGATGTAAACTAGCCTATAATTACAATGAAAAGGACTTACTTTATTAAAATGTAGAACTAAGTCCGATGGCAGCAACTTTGTCTTGCGGGTCAGGGTCTGCGCGCACTGTGTTGTGGGCGCGCGTGACACTTGTTGTGTTGGCCTGAGGCTGGGCGCTAGCGCTTGGCATCAGGGTCTGTGCGCGAGGCGCTGCTGGAATGGGCCTGTAGCTGGGTGCTGGCGAGGCATCAAGATCTGCGCGCGCGACATTGTCAGGGCGCGCGGCGCTGTTGTCATTGGACAGCCACTGGGCGCTGGCGAGAGGCATCCGTAGGGCGACAGAGGCGCATGCGCGCTTGTCACTTGGCACAGCCAAGACCATGGGGCCGACCATGGCGTTAGGCATTGTGAGGTTTGCTAGGCTTCCATGGGGCGCGACCAAGGGGTCATGGGGCGTGTCTGGAAAGTAGCCCATGACATTCTCCCCCACCTGAGTTGGTGCCGTCCTCGGAGCCTTATGATGATGATGATGATGCTTCTGGTGGTTGTTGGATGGGAGGTCTGCGCCCCTCTGTTCTGTGAGCTTGTTGTTGTAGCGACACAATGATTTCATGCGGCTGACATGGAAGACTAGATATATCTTCCACCAGGATGGAGTTTTCACCTGGTATGTGGACTTCCCAATACGTTTTTCGATGGGCAGGGGCCCGATGTATTTTTGTTGCAGGCGAGGGTCATGGGTCCTCTCTACAAACAAGTATCGCTTTGGGATGCATAGCATTACTTTGTCCCCCGTTTGATGTTGGGCAAAGCAAAGCTTTTGTTCGGTGAACCTTTTTTCCCGCTCTTGGGCTTTGACGAGATAGCTCTGCACTATCCCTATGTTACGCTCCCATTCGCTCGAGAAGTTGGCAGCTCGAGGAGATTTCGGCATGGTTAATACATTCACCGTTTGCGGGAGAAGCGGTTGTTGTCCAGTAACAATTTCAAAAGGGCTCTTGTTTGTATGATGGCTCTTTTGAGAATTGAAATATAGTTGAGCAGCATCCAAGAGCTTCACCCAATGCTTCTGTGATTCGGTTGCAAAGTTGCAGAGATATTCCTCCAGCATGTTATCGAATTGGTCTGTCTGGGATGGGTCCAAAAGTTGCTAGTGAAGCGTGAGTCGCGCCTACTAACAATGTCTTTGGGCAGGCCCCAATGTTTGACAATGTGCAAGAAGAAGAGTCGAGTTGTATCTTTTACTGATGCGTTTTGCGGGGCTGCTATGAAGGTTGCATAGTTTGAAAATTG